GTATATATGCACCAGTGTTCTTAACAGATATGTCCTAGGGGCCGATACACACCTCCAGATTCTCAGATACCTCCGTGACATAATATTTGGAAACCACCTGATGCTTTTCCAGTAATGGCTCTTTATCACTCCTCTGCATGCTCCTGGTATTCTCGTACTTTCTTCAGAAGGCACCTGTTTGCTCAGTATATCCTCACACCTCAAGTTCACATCTCCACCTTTCTTTCTATTAGCTGTTGAGTCAGCTTTCTTCACGGAATACAGTACTGGCCGAAATAGCTTCTCAGGTTGCTTTTTCTTCTTTTCTGGTGGAATCACTCACATTTTGGATGGGTACCCCCACTGCACTTGACAGGCTATGCTTTAATCCAAAATGTCCGCTTTCTGGCTAGGACCCAGAAAGACCCTTTCCTTTTGGGTTCTGTTATTGGTACTAACCTTTAGCTTTCTTCTTCTGTGAGGGGCATTTTTCACAAAGAAACAAAATGTTTTTTTGTTTGTTTGTTTTTTATCACTTCATAGGAGTTATTTCAAAGGCAAGGATGGATGGGAAGTAGGTATAGATGGTGGGCTGTGAAGCTATCCAGCTAATTGATATGTTGTCGATATTCTCCAGCCTTGCTAGGGAATGGCACAAATCGGTGCCTTAGAAAATTACATATTATTACATGTCTTAAACCTTCAGGCTGCTAAGCTAGTCAGCATCACTAATCTTTTTAAAAATTATTTTAAAATAATTTCAGACTTGGGGTACCTGAGTGGCTCAGTCGCTTAAGTATCTGGCTCTTGATTTCTGTTCATGTCATGATCTCAGGGTTGTGGGATCGAGCCCCCCGAGTTGGGCTCTGCACTCATCAGGGAGTCTGCTTAAGATTGTCTCGCTCTGCCCTCCCCGGCACTCGTGTTCACTCTCTCTCTCTCAAATAAATAAATAAATAAATAAATCTTAAAAAAATAATAATAATTTCAGACTTATAGAAGGAATTCTAGAACAGCCATACACCTTCATCCTGATTTCCCAAATGTTAACCTTTTATCTTCTTTGCTTTATCATTCTTTCATAATAGATAGATACATAAATATTGCCAAACTCCCCCCCAAAAAAATTTGTACCAATTTGTTTCTCACCACCAATGTATGAGAGAGCTTGCTTTAACCCAGTCTCACTGACAGAATGTGTTATTTTTTTGCTGATATCATAGGTAAGAAATGGTTTCTCAGTGTAGTTTTGCATTTCTGTTATGAGTGAGGAAGAATATCATTGAAATATCTTTTCATGTATGTGAATTGTCCGTTTTTGTCTTTTGCCCATTCTTTGTATCAAGATTTTGAGACTTCTTCATAGGTTTGGACTCTAAGCTCTTCATCTGTGTCGTACACTGCAAATACTTTCTCCTACTTTGTCATTTGTCTCTTTTTTTTGCTTGTGGTGTTTTGTGTCATGTTTTTTTAAAATCTAGGCAAAGTTATTGATATTTTTCTATTATTGCCTATAGATAGTTAAAGCCTTCCTTACACTCGGGTTATATATATAAGAATTTACTCTGTTTTCTTCTAACACTTGTGTCGTTTCATATGCTTGCATTTTGATCTCTGGTCCGTTTGGAGTTTATTCTTGTGATTGGTCTGAGGTATGCATGGTAATTTTTCTTTTCCTAATATGCAATGATACTAGCACCTTTTATTTAAAAGCCCTGGGCCTTGGGGGCGCCTGGGTGGCTCAGTTGTTAAGCATCTGCCTTCAGCTCAGGTCATGATCCTTCGGCTCAGGTCATGATCCCAAGGTCCTGGGATCGAGCCCCACATCAGGCTCCCCGCTCAGTGGGAAGCCTGCTTCTCCCTCTCCACTCCCCCTGCTTGTGTTCCCTCTCTCCCTGTGTCTCTCTCTGTCAAATAAATAAAATCTAAAAAAAAAAAAAATCTAAAAGCCCTAGGCCTTTATGCAAAAGTCGTTGGCATTTGAGATGCCACCTTTATCATATGCAAAATTTTTGTATGTGCTTGGGTCTCTTTCTTGACTTTCTATTCCGTTCAGTGGTTTAGTTGTCTGTTTATGTGCTGGTGCAGCACTGTTCTAATTATACAGCCTTTATGGTGTGTGTTCATATGCAGTAGGGCTATGCCCCCTCAGTGCTTTTCTTTCCCAGTTTTTTTTTTTTATAGACATTCTTTGTCAAGTTTTCTAACTCCATAAAAACATGTTGGTATTTCTACTGAGATTAAATTTATAAATTAACATGGAGAGAGTTGGCATCTTTTCGATGTTGAATTGTTCTATCCCAGAACAAGAGATGTCTTTTCATTTATTCAAGTCTATTCTTGTGTCTTTTGATAGCGTTTTAATTTTTTCTTCATAAAGATTTTGCACATCTGTTGATAAGTTTATTGTTTATGTTTTATCTTTTTTGCAGCCATTGTAAGCAACATTTTGTCTGATTTTATCCTCTAAATGGTTATTGTTGTGTGTATGAAGGCAATTGACTTCTATATGTTAATTTATATCCTGTTACCATGTTTAATTCTTTTACCATTTGAGATAGTTTTATCATTGATTCCCCAAGCATACTATCATATCTGGAAATGGAGCTGGTTTTCCTTATGTGATTTTTCTTGTTTAAATGTATTGGCTGATACCTCCAAGGCAATGTTACACAGTACTGAAGATGCTCTACACGCACAGACATATTATACATGTATAATGTATATATTATATATTTTTAAGCATGTTAAGACAGTATTCATCATTTTCTTCTTTCTTCGTTGTTTTTATCCAGGATGGGTGCTGAATTGTGTCAAAAACTTTTCAGCATCTGTTATAATAATCATATGATTTTTCTCCCTAGATTGATCAATATCATGTTTTATATTAATGGATGTCCTCATATTGAGCAGACTTGCACCACTGGAATGCATCTCACTTTATCATGGTGTATTATTTCCTGAAAGTGTGCCACTAATCTTAAAACTATAAATACCAAAGCTCTGCAACAGTGTTGTTCAAAGAATGATATCCCCTAGGGAACTTATGAATTATGGATTTCTACTGAATCAGAACCTCTGGGGAGGGTTTCCAGATTTTACTTCTCTCAGGCCCTTGCAGAGGCAGTCCTTATGCACACTGAGAACCACTGGGCTACCATATTGTTCAATGTGGATTTTTTTATGGAAAGTGACTGCAAAAAATTATGTACTTTAGCAAAGAATGTGCTCCATGATTCCTTTAAAAATCTGCTTTATATCTTGAAATTTTAGATCATGAGCCAGCTGCAGAAAAACAGATGATACAGAAAAAAACAAAAGCTAAAATAATAGCTGTCACCTGACTACCCATTCATCAATTCACTCATTTATTCAGCGTCTTTTAGCACTATGCAAGGATGGGGATACAAAAATGTATAAGATCTCTGTAACGGTAGGAGAAATGGAGAATTAAATGAATGTTTGTAAAGTAATAGAGGTTTTGTTAGAAATATTTTCCAGGAATTTTATGGGTATGATGGGCTTAAAAGAGGAAATACCTCTTTCTCCTAGATCAGAGAACATTTAAAGAGAAGCTGATGCTTTAGATGAAGCATCTTTCCAATATAACATTAACAATGGGGAAGAAATTGACTTACAAAAATCTTATTTACATGAAACTTTTTAGAAGTGTATCTCTTACACATGAAGTACTTGCTAGTACATCAACACATCAACTCTTGGCAAACAGCTACAATATTATTTACATATATAAGGGAAAGTTTACCTGTAAGTGGAGGAATCTCTTTATTTAACCTATGAATGAATTTCTTTCCAAGGTATCTAGATTTAATAGAAATACTGAGTAATATCAACAGAATAATAGAAAGCATCATTAATACATAGAAACTTCAGTAAGCAGAACGTGAACTGCCATTGTTTCTACTAGTATGCTAGTAGAAAAAAAATTTATATTCTTTTTCTATTAGAACTCGTTATGGTTTGGTTCCGCTCCATTTATTCTTGGTGTAAGACTTTCCTTATCCGGGACAACTGCTATGTGGGAGAGAGACCATAAAATTGTGTGACTAACATTCATGCCAGGACAATGGTTATGGGTTGGCTTGGTATGGAATTCATTTCTTCTTATCACATGAATGGCCCTCACGTGATGATGGGGCAGCATTTTAAAGTACAAACCTGGTACCGCTTGCTCTGAGGAAGATTCTCCAAAGTCAAATGTAGTTAGGATTCTTCCATTTCCTAATGTTACTGATGTAGAAGGGGTGTTATTTAATTGCCAACATTTTTATTTATCCAAAGTCTATAAAATTTAACTGCTGCTCTGAATTGAATATGATACAGTATGTATATAACAAATAGTTTGGGCATTATTTTTGCATCTGATTTAAACTGCAGCGGGTGTCAACCAAGATAGATGCAAATGTCATACTGAAGCCTTGGGTTATCTACTCTGGCTCTGCTTTAATCATCACTCTTCAATAGTTACTCGCCAAATCATTAAAAATATTTTTGGATTGCCTTGGAGAAAGGTAATTCATGGAAAGCACTCCAGTATGTTTTTTTAAAAATGTATATTCAGGGGTGCTTGGGTAGCTCGGTCGTTAAGCGGCTGCCTTTGGCTCAGGTCATGATCTCAGGGTCCTGGGATCAAGCCCCATGTCGGGTTCCCTGCTTCACGGGGAGCCTGCTTCTCCCTCTCCCTTTGCCTCTTCCCCTGCTTGTGCTCTTTCTCGCTACCTCTGTCACTATCTGTCTCTCTCTATCAAGTAAATAAATAAAATCTTAAAAAAAAATAAAAATGTGTATTCATCCAGATTAATAATAAAAGACTCTTCTGATAGCAAAAATAGATCCTGGGTGAGTTCTGAAATCACACACACACACACACACACACACACATTATACAATCTATTCTTAACCACCTGTTTAGTATATTTGTTTTGAAAAACAATAAAATTTAATGTGCCTTTAATGAACTCAGTCATATTCATGTTAGTACTTTCTTTTTTACTTTATAGTTGGCAATCAGTGGATAAATTACATCTCATTCTGTGGCCTTAGAACACATGCAGAGCTTGAAGGAAACCTAGTCACTGAGCTCATCTATGTCCACAGCAAGTTGCTAATTGCTGATGACAACACTGTTATTATCGGTAAGTACATGGTCTAGAATTGGGTTGCTTGCTAGTTGACGTACTTCATGCAAAAATCCTTCTTTCTCTTCCTCCCAAGATTCCTTTACAGTTGAGAGGGACTGTAATGTGACATCTAAAACATTTCTGAAGCAGTCTTGTCCACTTATGTCCTTTCTAATCCCTGTTTTTATCTGTGAAGAAACAGAGGTACAGAGCAATTAAATGGCCACTGTGCAAATTACAGTAGCCAGAGAGGCATGTTTTAGCCCAGCAGAGCAGTAATCAGCCTGTTCTCGTTAATTCTTTATTACCCCCCTTTTTTTAAATTGAAGTACCTAGGTTTCAGGGGCTGGAGGGGGAGACATAGGGGGAGAAAGTGGGAGCAGCCCAAGTGTCCGTTGTCTGATGAATTGGTAAGATTGTGTATATATACAATGGAATATTACTCAGCTATAAAAAAGAATGAAGTCTCGCCATTTGCAATGCCATGGATGGAGCTAGAGTGTATTATGCTAAGTGAAATAAGTCAGTCAGAGAAAGACAAATACCACATGATTTCATTCGTATGTGGAATTTAAGAAACAAAACAAAGGGGAGAGAGAGAGAGAGACCAAGAAACAGACGCTTACCCACAGGGAACAAGGTGGGTGGGCGGATGAATGAAATAGGTGATGGAGATGAATGAAACAGGGCCCCTGTTGTGCTGAGCACTGGGTGTTATTTGGAAGTGTGGAATCACTGTATTGTACCCCTGAAACTAATATTACACTGCATGTTAACTAACTGGAATTTAAATAGAAACTTAAATAAATTCCCAGAAAAAATAAAGTGTAGTTTCTCAACTATGATTAGATACTTCCTTATCTTCCCTATTCTATGAGAAACTAAATGTTGTAGAGTGTTTTGAAGTTTTTTGGCAGTAAATACACCGTTTCCATCTCTATCCTCCACTGAGCAAAGGAAAAAAAATCTCATATCGAGGAGTAATGAGATTGTCTTATCTGGAACATGATTTGAAAAGAAAGAAAAAGCAATTCTGAAGCCAGAAAATGTATAGGCCACAGTGTGGTGATACATATATATGCGTGCACATGTACACACACACACGCACATGTACACGCATACGCATACACACATGCACACATACGCGCACTCACATACGCACGCACACACATACACATGCACACACGCACGCACACACACACACTCTCTCAATACTTACATAGGGCATTTAGAAAAGTATCTGAGTCAGAATTCTATCTCTTGCTCTATAGGGGTCAAAGTTCTTTAGGGATTTATTTACTCTCCTATTCCCCCAGTAAACAAAGTTTCTCTAATTTCCCCCAACCTACCCTGGCCTTGCTCTCCAGAAGCCAATCTCAGAAAATTTTCGTATTAAGTTTGGCAATGACAGTAGGAAAGGAAAAATATTGATGTTTGCTGAAATGGAAAAACAAAGCCAAATAAAATTCAGTTGATTTCTTCAGCAAGATTTCAGAATCTTGAAGTAAATATTGACAGATGTAAATATTTTCCTTTTAAAGGTCATTTTGGCTTTAAGTATAAATGCAAAGCAGTTTGCAGTAACAGAGGTAATGATTAAATAAGTTGAGTTTTTAAATTGACTTATTTTCTAGAAAGTTCTCTGAACTCACAAAGGCTACAGTTTGTTTAGGCTAGCAATAATTGATCAATCTTGTACATAATTCTTACCCATTTTCTTGAAACCAAAGAAGTGGCCTGGAGAGTATGAAGAGGTTTTACTTGCTGGTCTTTAGGGGCTGGATTTCTTTTTCTCCTTCCCCATGGACAAAACAGATTTCCTTTTGTTTTTTGTATCTCAGGGGAAACTCTAAGAGAAGCAGGCTTGTTGCTGCTCTCACACATCAGCCCTGCTTAAATTCATAACACCAAGAACAATATTTCATATTCTGAGAGAGGAGTTTGAGAAGTTAGGTTGAAAATATTTTACAGCTGTTCAAAGAGGTTAAAGTAACCTGTGGTTAAATTTTCTAACATGGCAAATATATGCCAGAATTATTGAATAATTAACAGAAGAAAAACAACTAATTGTTTATTCTCCCTTTCTCCTCACAAGGAAGTACCTGCTTTCTCACACTAAAGATCTCTTTTGTGTGGAGCTTTAATTATCTCTTGCCCTGAGTGCCCCTGCTGGTCCTGAAATCTGTGACTAAGTCCATTTTTCTATTCCATCTAAATATTGGCAATTAACCAAACTAACATTTTGTTTGCTTTCCTAAACAAAATAAGGCTATCCTTAAGTAGACTTTGAGCCTATCCTATTGACAAAGTGAAACAGTTTTTTTCAGTGTTCACTAATCCACTAAAAAGCACAAAGGGCAGAATATGAAAATTGAATCAAACAGTGCCTCTGTCCTACAGAGCTCAAGGGCTACAGGGAAGGCAGGTATTCTTTCCATTTAACACCAGAAACATTGGGTGGGTATTGCTGAGCAGGGTAAGAAGGTCCAAAGGCAATCAATGAGATTGGTAGGTGGGAAGCTATGTAGAGGAAATGAGTATCAGTGCTTAAAGGACAGGCTTGGGAGTGGCTGATCAAAGTCTGTAGTTGAAGGGCTGCCCCAGGAGAAAGGGTTTACCCTTGACCTAATCCCATGGGTCTCAAACCTGGCTGCATTTGAGTTGCCTGGGGAGCTTTAAATATATGTATATCATTAGGGGGAGGTTTATTCAAGTCTGCAATTTACTTTAAAATAGATCCCCCCAGGGGGCGCCTGGGTGGGCTCAGTCTCAAGCATCTGACTCTTGATTTTGGCTCAGGTCATGGTCTCAGGATCCTGGGATCAAGCTCCAAATCGAGCTCCCCACTCAAGCAGGGAGTCTGCTTGAGATTCTCTTTCACTCTCCCTCTGCCACTCCCCCCTCCTCACGCACAGGCTCTCTTTTGCAAATAAAATAAATATTAAAAAAAAAGATCCCCCATAAAAGATGCATTAATGGATAAAGGGATGGAGTGGTACTGGGGGAAAAATACTAATGTCTGGCTCCTACTTCCAGAGATTCTGACTAATTGGTCCAGTTTGGGGCCCAGGCATCAAGGTGTTTTTATTTTTGTTTTTGGCACCAGTATTTTTTTAAAGAGCCTCCTGGGTGCTGCTCACATGCGGTCTGAGCTGAGAACTTCTGAACTGGAGGAACAGGGAACACCAGTGGGTAGAAAGTACTAAGTAGCCCATTTGGGCTTAATAGGAGAGTCCATTTTCCTTAAAAACAACTAAGCTGAAGCAGAGTAGAGTTGGTGTGTTCGTTGTCTGTACCTGCTATGACAAACGGCCATGAACTTAGTGGCTTAAACCAGCACAAATTTATTATCCAGCAGTTCTGTAGGTTAGAAATCCAACGTGGGTCTCCCTGAGCTAAAATCAGGGGGTCAGCAGGACCACGTTCCTTCCTGGAGGCTTCCAGAGAGAATCCAATTCCTTGCCTTTTCCAGCGCTAGAGTCTGTCAGCATTCCTTGGCTCAGGGCCCTCTTCCCCCGTCTTTGAAAGCAGCAATGTGACATCTCTCTGAAGGTTCCCAAAAGTCTCAACCATACTTCTGTAACCACATCTCCCTCTGAATCCCCTTCACTTTTAAAGACTCTTGTGATTGTATTTGGCCCACCTGGATCCAGGCCAATCACCCTGTTTTAAGGCCAGCTGGTTAGCAACCTTCATTCCCCTTTGTTGTGTAACATAACATATTCACAGGCTTTGGGGATTAGAACGTGGTCATCTTTGGGGGCCATTATTCTGCCTAACCCAGAAAGATTCACAGTTTCTGAAACATTTTTAAAACACAAACCAAAAAGGAAAAGACAGATAAATCCGACTGCCTTGAAATTCAGAACCTATTCATTAAAAAGCACTATAAAGAGAATAAAAAGATAAACCATAACCTGAAAATGGGATATTTGCAACACACTTAAATATTCAAAACCTATAAAAAACTACTATATACCAAGAAACAAAGACAACATCCAAAGGAAAAGGGGCAAAGGAATTGTATAGGAACGTCACCAAAGAGGACATACCTGAGGCCCATAAACATTTGAAAGATATTCATCCTCATTAATCTAATGAGACAACAGTTTTTAAAAATACCAATTGGCAAAAATGTAAAAGTTGGACAATCCAGGTATTGACGAGGCCATGGAGCACCCGGGACTCCACTCCTATGGACAGAGCCCAGGCAGAGTCCCACATGTGCACACCAGGAAACATATGGAGAGCATAAGTGTGCATCATAGAAAACACTAGAAACAACCCAAACATCCACCAACAGATTTAGAATGAATAAGTCTTGCTGTGCTCATTTGAGGAAAATAATGCATTATGATCAGACACAGATAAATCCCGAAAATACAATATTGAATGAAAGAAGCAAATCTCAAAAGATTATCTACTAGATGGGTCCATTTATGCAATTTAAAGACAAGTCAAAAGTAAACTATTTCTTTGACTAGGAAAACATGCAGAGCATGATGAACACAAAATTCTTTATAAAATCTCTCTTGTGATGGGGAAAGGCCTACGTGGGAAGACACCTGAGGGTTTCTGAGATGTGGTAATGTTCTGTTTTTCAGCCTGGGTGAATAAATTCAGTGATACTTATTTTATTATTGACTAAATTGTACATATATGTTTTCATATATTCTTTTGTATTTTGCTATATCTCACAATGTTTAAAATGTTCCCTAAAAGCAGACAGAAAATCTAAAAATTAAGTGGTTTTATTTCTTTTTTTAAAAGATCTTACTTATTAGAGAGGGAGAAGCAGACCTCCTGCTGAGCAGGGAGCCCGATGCGGGGCTCCATCCCAGCACCCTGGGATCACGACCTGAGCGGAAGGCAGACTCTTAACCGACTGAGCCACCCAGATGCCCCTAAAAATTAAGTGGTTTTAAATTATTGGGGCAATGTCCTAATAAAAACAAGGGATTGCAGTTACCATAAAATGTAACACATAGAATACAAAGCAAATTTGTTGCAAACAATTCAAACTCTAAGGACACATATTGAATAAAAGGTCAAAAATCCCTCTTTGCTAGAAAGAACCCACCACTCTTAACAGTTCAGTGTGAATCTTTCTAGAGCCCTTTCTCTTTTTCCTCATGTGTTATATAGAAACAGGATAGTAATATATCTGCTCTTCTGAATTTGATTTTCAAAATATGGGACCGTTTAACAATAACAATGGAGATAACATTACACCAATATCTCATTTGCAGCATCTCATTTATTAAGTCCATCTAAAATCCCCTCATCCTTTTCTTCTCATTCCTGTTAAATAGTAGCCAACTCACTTATCCTACACGGCTGAGATTCAGTGCTCTGGGTAACTCCAGATGGGCTGCTGATGTACAAGGACCACACTCTCTCTAAGAACTCCAGCCCAGAATGCCAGGAATGTATTCTTTCCTTTGGGATGTGGAGCCCACCGTGGTGGGAGGAGGGAGACTGAGGGACGGGTGTGAACGTGTGTGTGTGTGTGTGTGTGGAGGAGACTTTCCTGGGGACCTCACATCCCCAATTTTCCTGACAGTGAAGAGCAGCAATGTCCACCGAGCCCAGCAGCCCCCAGCCCAAGAGAAGCCTGTGGCGGCCCCGAGGTAGTGCACTCCCGCAGTAGCACTGTGCGCACTCTGTTCCTCTCCTCCTTCTGGCTCACACACCTGGCAGGACGGGGGGAGGGGGGTTGTGATGAACCCAGAGAGGAGGCTAGTCTCATACAAATGCTACATGCCAGTAAATTGCCCTTTCCTATGGCAGTGTCCTCTAGATGTTGTAGCCTTAACAGAGTATCTGATAGTAATGCCAATAATATTTAACACTATAGAGCAGTTTATAAATTAGTAAGTTCTTTCACATGATCTTCTCACAAGATCATGTGAAATACAAGATCTATATTGTGGGGGCGCCTGGGTGGCTCAGTTGGTTAAGCGTCTGCCTTCAGCTCATGATCCCAGGGTCCTGGGATCGGGCCCCATGTGGGGCTCCTTGCTCATGGGGAGTCTGCATCTGCCACTCCCCCTGCTTGTGTGCACTCTCTCTTTCTTCCTCTGTCAAATAGGAAAAATCTTTAAAAAAAAAAAAACAACAAACCTTCTTTAAAAGAAAAATATCTATATTATGATCTCAATTTATAAAAGATCAAATTAAAGGTGAGAAAGATAAAATGACTTTGTCCAAATGAATGCTGGGCCAACTGTGAAGCCCAAAGATATGGCTGCAAATTTTATAGGATCATCAAAATGTAAGTGCATGTGTAAAAGACAATTTGTTGCCAACAAAACAAAGTGTGTCAATCATTCCCACCTTACAGAGAGCTCCGGTAGTGCTCCCAAATTTCTGTGAGGTGCTCCATCCTTTCTCTTTTACCCAGGGCCACTGTGGGGCACCACTCACATCCACAGTTAGCGTAGATTTGCATATTAAGTAAAGTACAGGATAGTATTGTGGCAGATGGCAGTAAAATCTCCTCAGGAAGGGCCAGCTTTTTCTCATGTACAACAGGCTGCCATTTGGGTTCAGGGCAGGGCTGTACTATAACCTTACACCCTGACTGTCTCCATCCCAGAGGGTCACCTCTTGCTCCTGTCCAGTCCAACCCTTCTGCCGAAGCAGTGGAATGTGTGACTAGGGGAAGAGGAAGAAAAAAGAGCCGGGTTCCTTCTGTAGTTTGTAGGATAACCTCAAGGATTCAAAGGCATGGATCCAAAAGCATGAATTAAAAAAAAAAATGAATGCAGAAAAACGTGCTGAGGTTTCTGAATACGCAGCAGAGGAGTGGAGAAAACACAGGTTGAACTAATATTAAAATACTTGCCCTTCACATGTGAAAGTCAACATTCTCAGCTTGTTTGGATTTTAAAAAGAGAATGGAAGGAAGTTGATACAGAAGCTGTTGGCATGCCACACAAATGAGGCAAGAGAATGTAAAAACCAAAGCCACTAATGCTAATCCGTATTTGAGAGTGGACTCTTGATTGTGAAGCTACTCTGGGTTTTGACATTCATAATTATATGGCCATGAGTTAAGTCATCAGACTCCGCAGAGTAAGTCTAAAAGCTGACCAAATTGAATCGGTGTGTCTTTTTTCTTTGTGTGCTTAATGATTATATCAGTTAGAATCCTTTGAGCCACCAGATGGAAAATTCAGCTAAAAGTATGTGAAACAATAAGGAAAATGTATTATTTCACATACCAGCAGGTAAGAAAGTTGGCAAGTTCAATGACTTGAAGACCCAGGGTCTTTCTTTGCTCTGCTGTCTTCAACTGGTCTGCTTGTCCCCTAGTGGTTACAAAATGGCTGCAGCAGCTCCTGGAATCATGGCCTCATCCAACATCCAAACCAAATATCAAAAGGCTGGAAGAGACAGCATCCCAGTCTGGTGTCTGTTTATAAGGAGATAGACTTTTTCAGAAGCCTCCAGCAGACTTTTCTTCATGTCACACTGCCTACAATGATGTCAAGTGCCCATTCCTAAGCCAGTCCTGGGTAAAGGTCACAAAATTACCATAGCTGGCTTAGACTGCTCAAGACGCATGCCTGGATTAGGGCGGGCCTCCCCTTCCCAAAACTCAGCATCTGTTGATAAGCTGAACAAAATTAAGGTTTTCTTAGCAAGGAAGAATTGAGCGGGGAGGGCAACTGGCAGTGCTTTGCCGAGAATATTGTTCCACATCGCTGTTTCCTGTTGCAGGCTCTGCCAACATAAACGACCGAAGCATGCTGGGAAAGCGTGACAGTGAAGTGGCTGTCATCGTGCAGGATACGGAGACGGTCCCTTCAGTGATGGATGGAGAAGAGTACCAGGCTGGCCGCTTCGCCCAGGGACTTCGGCTGCAGTGCTTCAGGTGGGTCCCCCAGAGCTGTGTCCCTCTCACGTGGTTTCACTGCGTGGTTTCCCACCCTGAGCGCACATGTCATCCCTAGGTTCTTCTTTGTCTAAAATGGCGTCTCCCAGAGTATGGGATGCGAATCACCAGTAGTGTGCAAAATGACTTTACAGGGGGCATATTTTCTATTTTAATCATTTTTATTATTTTTATGTGTAATCAAGAAAAATAGCATTTTAAATTTATTCACTGATCTAGGGCCAGGCCAAGTCAACCCCTCTAGTGTCTGTGTTTTTGTTTTTAAGATTTTATTTTAGAGAGAGAGTGAGTGGGGGGAGGGGCCGGGGGAGAAGGAGAGAAAATCTCAAGCAGACTCCATGCTGGGTGTGGAGCCTGACTCGGGGCTCGATCCCACGACCCCAAGATCACAACCTGAGCCAAAACCAAGAGTTGGGCACTTAACCAACTGAGCCAGTCACCCCTATTTAAGTTTTTTAAAGTGAGTCCATTTTTTAAAATTATAATAGTCCCAATAATACAGGGATGTAAGAGAAGGTATTAAAGAAGGGTGCCAGTGACTGCTGATGGTGAAGTTTGGAAACTTCAGCCCTAGACACAAAAGATTCTTGATCGTCTCCAAGAAGATGTGAGTTCTGCACTGATCTGTGCTCAAGCTGAGAGAACACTGGGTGGAGCAGCAAGGGCTCGGGGGCCCTAAATGAGTCCTTCATTCCCTTAATGTTTCTGAGAACTCTCCAGGGCTGGGCTAACTGGCCCCACCCCAGGCCCTGTAATCTAGTCTCGGTGGTCAGAGTGATCCTTCTGGAACCTAGCCCTGATCCTGTCACTTCGCTCATGGTCCATGGAACACCCCGAGCACTCTCCCATGCCTCGGACTTTGCAGTGAGCCCCCCAGTCCATGATTCTATAGCTGCATCCGCCAGGGATGGGTTTTCCCTGTGGCCTCCACAGTGAGATGCAGCAGTCGGTCCTGATGAGGCTTTAAACTATTTGGGGAAAGGTGAAGCAGCACAAAATGCTTCACAGCACCGTTGTTTTAACCCTGTTGGTGTGAATGGTGGAGCTTGGACACGGGTTCACTGGCAGGTACGCGCCTCGTGGGTACTCCGCTCCCTGCAAATGCTGGCCGCCATTTCCCTCCTATCTAGCCGCCCAGGCTCCAGCTTTTGAGAAGCAAGATAAGCTTCAGTTCCTTCCATTCCAGAGAGGGGTCATTCTGCTCTCTATGCCCCAGGAGCTTGGCAAATCCATCCCTCAAAATCTGACTGTCAGTACTTCCTCACGGTTCTTATGGCTGTATTTATTGCCATCGTTACTAATTGTTTTGCCAGTAAGACTTCTTTTTTCCCAAACCATTATTTCAATTAGCTTCTAGTGTTAATTTGTTTTGTTTAGAGGGGAAGAGATTAAAATTAGTACCCTGTTAATCAGCCTGCTGATTGCCTACTGCAGCATCTATGAGGAAGCAAATATTTCTTTGTGTAAACCAGTCTTTTAGGTTTCTTGAGAACTTAAGTATTCTCTTTAAAGTGGTGAGCTTTTTTTTTTTTTTAAGATTTTATTTATTCATTTGTTAGCACAAGCAGGGGGAACAGCAGGCAGAGGGAGAAGCAGGCTCCCTGCTGAGCAAGGAGCCCAATGCAGGGCTCAATCCCAGGACCCTGGGATCATGACCTGAGCTGAAGGCAGACGCTTAACCGACTGAGCCACCCAGGTGTCCCACAAGAGGGTAGTCTTTACTGCATCAAATTTCCCAAACCAAAGCCTTTGAAGCACCTTGTCATGATACTTGCAAACTATTTCTTTGCAAATTTTTAACTGGTCTCTGCAATAGGCTGAGGTCCTTATTTTCCCTTTGGCTGTAATCTGGAGTTCACCAACAATACTTGCATGAACTTAGAACTACTTCCCACTTAAATGGGAAGAATCCTGGACTCAATGGACAGGGCAGCCTGAAGCTATCAGAAGGCTCAAGAGCTAAGGGTCTCCTGCCTCCTGGGCTCTCAGGTGACAATCCGTAGAAGGGCACCGGGCCCAGGAAGAGTCATCAGAACCTTCCAGATGGTGGCTCAGGGTCTGCTGGGTGGTCAAACTGGAGAGGGAGCTTGGAGAGGTCAGCAGCCATGTGATGGAAAGAGCTGATCTGAGAGGATAAAACTGACACAAAGTAAAAAGCTGGGAGTAAAAACAAGAAAAAGCCACAGCCTGACAGGTGAGTCCCTGTTTCCAACTGAGACCTTCTGCGGTACAGCTACCCAGACCTGCAGATTCCTCCCTTTTCCTCAAGTTATTTAAGCTGCCATTTGTAGACAACAGTCTTAAAAGCACTGCTGAAATAAATGGTGTGGAAGGTTCTGGGACAGTTGTGAGAGGAGACAGGACCAGGGCAGAGCCAGAATCAGGGGAGAAGCCCCGCTCCAGCTGACAGCAATGCCACCTCACCATGAGAAGATCAGGGTGGCCTTGCCTGAGTAACATTTAAAAATTTTAAATTATTTACCCTGCTTCCTAATATTACTCAGCCATTCTGTCAGATTAGGCAGGGTCAGTGTGAAATCAATGAAATAGTAATGATCTTTGAAAACTGTAAGATCGAGGTCAAACTAAATCCAGTCTCAATAAAAAGCATATTATAACAGGGGTGCCAGGCTGGCTCAGTCAGTAGAGCAGGCTGCTCTTGTTCTCAGGGTCATGAGTTCGAGCCCCACGCTGGGCATGGAGCCTACTTAAAAAAAAAAAAAACAACATATTATGACACCAGTGTCAATGTTCATCTTTAATATGGGTTGGTTTTTAAAAAGGGGTAGGGCAATGTGAATAACAAAGTAAGTCCAGCTCTGCTTTCATCTTTCTGTTCATTTTCTACAATGGGTGGATCCATTAGAATTTCTTCACCAATTTTCTTTGTTGCCAACACCTCGGATGTTCAGTCCTTCGTATTTAGTGAGGAACCCTTTGCTGGGTGGCACGGCTTTCACTGCTACTGAAGTTGCTAGGTTTGAGTTGTATTTTGATAAAATCTGGAGAATATCTTCTGGAATGGTAGTCACTTCTGGAGGTGTAGGTATTCTCAACAGATTCTCATAAGAAATTACAGGAGAAGAGGGATCCGCAAAACTCTCAAAACACCTGTCTGAATTTAAAACTAATGATGTACAGTCTTTCATTTCCAAATCATTTGATGAACTATTTGTTTTTGATAATGGATAATTTGTGGACCCCAAAGCTGTACTGTTCTTTGTAGAAGGAATTTCCAAACCAGGAGTGCAGAATGTAGGTGCCAAGGGAGAATCCATATTGTCAGCACCATTTTTTTTCAACTGCTGGAGGCCAGGAGTGGCAAAGAAATTATCACTGGTCATTGGTTCTGGTTCTATGGCCTCTTCACATTTATTCTCCTTCATATTTTTAAGTCCCATTGTGTAATCTTCATTTAAACACAGAGTACAGTCGGAGATGTTCTTTATAACTTTCTAAATGTATAATAATGATAAAGGTGTAGGTGGTTCTGATTACAACCTATTTTTGTGGTAGAAAATTTGGCAAATACAGTTAAGCAATAAGAAAATTAAATTCATCTGTAATCCCACTGCCCAGAGCTAGCAGCTTTAACATTTGCTATCATTCCCCTTTGTTCAGTACATATATATTACTATACTGTATTTCTTTTTTGAAACATAATGAGGAGCTTGCAGTCCTAGGAAGTTCTTTATTATTTAAATAATGTTACATAGTTTTGTGTCATTAAGTATTCTTCTATAACATTTAATGGCTGCATTGTATTACATCATGTGAGTTTGCTGTGACTCCTTTAACTAATACCTCACTGATAGTCAGGTTTTTCATGGATATAAAAAAGTGGATATAGGGATGCCTGGCTGGCTCAGCCGGTGGAGCGGACTCTTGATCTTGGGGTTGAGAGTTCAAGCCCCATGTTGGCTGTGGAGATTACTTAAAAGTAAAATCTTTAAAATAAATAAGTTGATATATTTGTAGATAGCATCTTATTTCCCTTCTTGTTTCCTTAGCTAAATCCTGACTATGGAATTTCTAATCCAAGGAAGTGTGCTGCTTCCTTTACCCTCTGACTTCTTGCTGTCTTGCTAGTAATGCTCTCAGGGGCTTATTCCTCCTGTCTTTACCAACACTGAGTTCTATTATTTTATTTAATCTTTGCCAATTCGTTGGATTTCAAGTGGAATTTCATTAATTTGCATTTTTGAGGGTTCAAAAAAATGTGTTCGTTAGCCATATTGTTCTTGTAATTGTTCTTTTAGAAATTACCTGGCCTATTCATGTCTTTTGTCCATTTTGTTGGAATGTTTCCCTTTCTTTGAATGATTTAGAAGTAATTTAAGTATCTACGAGGCTAATTCTTTTGTCACACTGGTTCCAAATCTGATTTGTCAATTGCCTTTGAATCATATTTAGAGTATTTGGGGGCAATTCAAAATCTTATTAATCAAATCTATCCAGGTTTTTTGCCTCCTTTTCTTGCATGCCTAGTATAGTTTCCCCAACCCAAGATCAAATACTGTATTTTCTTCTAGTACTTATTTGATACTGCTTTTTACATTTAACATCTGCAATTTATTTTAATGTAAGAAATGAGATAGGGACTCTAACATTCCCCCTCCCCCACACAGCCTACCAATTGATCCAGAACTGAATGATGTGCAGTACTCTTTGCCTAACATGCAGTGCCTCCTTATGATACACCGCGTTGCTATATATCCTCACTCATCTCTAGTCTCTCCATCAGGTGCTATTATAATCTGCTTACTTGCATCCCAGTGTGACACCGCTTTAATCATTGTGGCTGTGTGCTTTAATACTGCTTCTTGCCACCCCACTTCCCAAATCAATATTCTTTGGCAGGATAATCTTGGTTACTCTTAAACATTCACTCTTCCACATGAACTTTAGAATTATTTATTCATGTTCTCTTCATTTTTTTTGGTTGGTATTGTTGAAATTACAGATTTGTAGATTAATATAAAAAGAATTAACATTTATAATGTTGAGTCATCCTCTTGAGGAACAAAGTATAGGCTTCAATTTATTCAAATTTGTTTTGAATTTTTCTTTAATAAAGCTCTAGGGTTTTCATTAATGGGGGCGTTGCTCTTCAGGAATCGTTAGAGTTTTATTTTAACTTTTTTATGCTGATCTTATACATTTCAGGCTAAGCATATTCTTAGGTGCTTTTATTTTACTGACAATTTTCAGACTGTTTTAAAGAGGCATTTGTTCGCGAACAATCATTTTTCACTTTGCCCCAATGGCAAACACGGCTAATATATTAAAAAGCGCCAAAAAAACCCTCATGTTGATTTTATTAGGAAATGTTCTCAAAGATAATATCGGGACCTAGGATACAGCCATTTTCTCACTTAAAAAAATGCAGCTTCAACCCATTTTCCATCTGGGTTATTTTTGAATAGAAATAGAGAGACACATTTCAATGTGAAATCAATTCTAAGCAGAGTCAACATCAGGGTACTGCACTGAATGTCGCAACTATATGCTGAACAGTTCATTAAGTCCTGCAAAATTATCCAACCCATACACATGTAACCATCACTCAACAGAAACCATTATCCACCCAAGTAGAGCTCAGAATCATATTAAGCAACAGACATGAGGAATGGAAAGACCAGGAACTATTTTCTGCATTTTTCCTTCTGTTCCACCGATGCATAAACAATGAACCATTAAATAATTCCCATTATACACACCTACATTAAATCAAATGAGTTTTCCCTAACCTTAGTCCCCAAAAGAATATCCAGAGAATTTCATTTTACTTTGCATTTTAACATGAGAAAACTGACAGGGAAAGTAATTTATTACTAAAAATTACCTGTTGTAGACTTATTTAAATACTTTTTCTACAAACAAGCTCTTAACTTATAATTTGGTGGACACATTGTGTCACCTCTTGTTTTTAAATTAAAAACAAAGTTACAGAAGTGTTCTTTTTGCTAAGTTTTCAGCTGGTTAGACCTGATCCCCATCAAAGGCAATGTTTTAATTGATGTATTGTCATAACTTGCATGGTCCTTCAGATTTGCAGCAGATTTGCATTAGGTCTTTTTTTTTTTTAAAGACTTTATTTATTTATTTGACGGAGAGAGAGACAGTGAGAGAGAGAACACAAGCAGGGGGAGTGGGAGAGGGAGAAGCAGGCTTCCCTCCGAGCAGGGAGCCCGATTCAGGGCTCCATCCCAGGACCCTGGGATCATGACCTGAGCCGAAGGCAGATGCTTAACAACTGAGCCACCCAGGTGCCCCTGCATTAGGTCTTAATGAGCAGCCAGCATCTGTGTGCAAACACTATCCTTAAATCCATTTTAAAAGTTATTCTTCTGTAGTCTGAAGGAGACATTATTTGAAATGGAAATAAAATTTTCAGGTTATAAAACTAAAAAATCCTAAGTGAGCCCATGGTGTCAAATCCATTCATTTTAAAGAATTTTTAGGTAGTGGGAAAAGTGCAGACTAAAACTAAAATGAGATGTCCTTTTATCTTTGTAAAAATGGCTGAGCTTTTTCAGGAATTAATCATGTTGGGGATGACTGGGGAGAACAGGCACGGTTATGTGTCTGTGTTGGAACAGCCTCTCCTGAAGTAAATTTTAACTCTAAAATTTTTCCTGGTGAAAGAGTCCTGTAAATTCACAAAGTATTCATGATGAATAAATTATGTTCATTGTAAAATTGTTCAGAATAATGAAAAACTGGAAACCATCCAAGAGGTCATAATACTTGGTTAAAGAAATTTCACATGATGGGAAATTTTACAACCATTAAGAACGATGACATCAATCCACATTTATTTAAATACAGAGAGGGTAACAATGGAAGGACCTCCACACTGTTGAATCCAGTGGTCCCTTCTCATCTGAATTTGACACAGTTCTCCTTGGCGAACTTCGTGTGGTTCCAGGATATGACACCCTTGCTTTTCTCCACGCTCGATGGCTATTCCTCTTCTTCCTTCCCACTGAGGCACACTGGGTCGTCTTCTCTGTCTAAACTCACTCCTTTGGTACACCAGTTAAAAGTCCGATGGCTTTATGTATATAGATATAGATATAGATATAGATATAGATATAGATATAGATATAGATATAGATATAGATATAGATATATTGACAATTCTCAAATTTATACTCCAGCCAGGCCCCCTCTCCTCAACTCCAGATTCATTTCTCCAGCTGCCTACTTTGCATTACCCCGTGAACGTTTAATGAGAGTCTCAACAGGTTCAACACTGAATTTCTGGTCTTCTCCCACAAACTGGCTCTACCAACAGAATTCCCCATGTCAGCCAATGGCACCCATATTCTTCTAGTAGCTCACGCCGAAACCCCCGTTGTCAACCTTGATGCCTCACTTGCTCTCACATGGTACACCTACTCTGTCAGGACAACCTATTGGCTCCACCTTCCCCTCCACTGCCCAAGCCATCATCTCTCACTCACCTTACTGCAGGAGCTCCTGAGTGGTCTCCCTGTTACAGCCCTTGCCCCGCACACTCTGTTCTCAATACAGTCGCCGTTATTTTCCTGTGTAAGTCAGCTCGTACCACTCGTCTGCTCCAGTGTCTGCAATATGTCCCAGTTTCACTTAGCATAAAAGCCAAAGTCCTACTAAGACCAATTTCCTTACTTCTGCCTTCAATGTAACATAAGCCTTTTTGATCTTCTTTGAACCTATCAGGCATGTGAGAAAGGGCTTTAGACTCCGTTTGAAATCTAGCTTTGTTAGTAGTATGTCTCCAAGTTTTAGCTTCCCATCTGCAAAATGGGAATCGCATACCATGTACCTCACAGGATTGAGGTTGAAATGTTTTTTTTTTTTAACTCCAAGGCCTTCTATAAGTATAAGGGTTTGTATCGTTTTCTAATATGACCTCTAAAACTTACCTTGCTTTGCTTAAGAATTTCTTGTTGTTTCCAGTCTGCTGTTTGTATATGATCATGTCAGACAACATCTAGTATGTGGCTTCCTTTTTGCCAGGCACTCTGGGGATATAAGAGTAGCCAGGTCATGTTCTCTTGAAGAATTAACCTGCTAAATGTGGGACATAAGCCTGTTAAAAACAAAAAGTGAGTGAAGTATTGTAGGTGTTCTGATAAAACAAAGCATATATGAAGTACAGAGGGGGGGCAATGTTCAAGTCTCTGAGGACTGAGACAGAAAAATGGGAGATGGGAGAAGGGGGAGCGAATCAAGGGGAAGCCTTGCAGTGAATGCTGAAAGATGGTAGGTGGGGTCAGGCAAACAGCAAGGGCAGGGGAAGGCTCCCTGACTACTCTCATCTCATACTTTTAAAGCACACCCAGTATTTATCACAATACTTCATTCTTTTTGAGGATGATTATTTATTCATTGTTGATCTTACCCATCCAATTTAATTACCCAGGGAAGCTCCATGCCTTTGTATTCATTTCTGTACCCTAGAGTTTGACATAGTTCTTGGCCCAAGAGAAGGAAGGGAGGGAGGGAAGTTAAGAGGGAGGGAGAAAGGGAGAGAAATAGGGGGAGAGGGAGGAGAAAGGGATATTTCATCCTGGTTGAGAGCACAGGTTTGGGAGTCAGATGGTCTGGAGTCCCAGATCTGCAGCTTACCCGCTGGATGACCTTGAACAAGTTACTTACTCTCTCTATGCCTTAGTTCCCTTATTTGTAAACTGGAAATAATAACAGTTGCTTCTTTATAAGATTGTTGAGGATTTACTGAGACAGTTCTTGGAAAGGACTTAGCACATTTGCTGGCCCCATGGGTTTTGTGTTTGTGTGTGTGTGTGTGTGTGTGTGTGTGTGTGTGTTTAAAGATTTATTTGAGAGAGAGAGAGTAGAAGGAGAGGCAAAGGGAGAGGGCGAGAAAGAATCCCCAAGGGGACTCTCCACTGAGCATGGAGCCTGACACAGGGCTTGATCCCAGGACCCTGAGGTCATGACCTGAGCCAAAATCAAGAGTCAGATGCCCAACCGACTGAGCCACCCAGGCGCCCCCTGGCCCATGTTTTGAATGTAACCCCATCCCTCCAAGGTTCTCACCCCCTTAGGCCAAATTGCCAGGACTTTCTTGGAACTAAATTCAGGTCTTTCTGTCTATCCAATAGTTAAAACTTTCAAACATCATAACAGCTTAGATTTGTTTTGTTTTGTTTTGCAACTAAGGTTTTATACACACACAGTTTTAATGGCTTCCTCTGATTTTCTTAAAAAAAAAAAAAAAACTTCTGTGGTTGGGTTACATGAATGGTAACATAATGAAATACATTATTATTAGAAACAATGCCTGCAGCAAACTTCTTTATCTCAATTACTCATTTTGGAGGGTACTTGTATTTCAGGGTTGTCCTTGGCTATCTTTCTGACCCAAGTGAAAACATTCAGGATCCAGTGTGTGACAAATTCTTCAAGGAGGTGTGGGTTGCAACGGCAGCTCGAAATGCTACAATTTATGATAAGGTGAGGTTTGCATGTCACCCCCCACCTTTTTTAATTGAATCACATCACAAAAGCACATCATTATTACTGCATATTATTGGTACAGAGTATTCTTAATGAGTGTAAAAAACCAGTACATTTCCAAGTTGTAATAAAATACCTCTTTGTAGACATTAAAAAACAGAGTCAAAAAGTATCATGGATTATGGTTTAGAAGAGCCGTTAGTGGCATTCTGATCTCTCATCTGATTCTGGAGTCCCATCATGAGCATCCTTAGAAGGTGGTTACCCAGCCTTTGGATGTGTCTAGTGACAAAGAGAAAAGAGGCAGATGAGATCCAAAAATGAGTCAGACCTGGCTGGGTTCAACCCAGCTCACCCAGTTGCTGGTGATAGAACTTTGTATGTAGTGATTTGACTTTCTGAGCCCTCCTCTCTCCGCTTATAAACTGGGAGGAATATTCACTGGGGTAGTTATGAAAATAAAGAATAGTCTTTTAAATGTATTTAACACATAGCATAGTAAATGGCATCCATCCTTATGATGGAACTTATTATAATGAAACACATCCTTTATTGGGCAGCTCTAATTTTGGAAAGGTGTTTTAAAACCAGCTCCATATGTTAGGGAGGCCAAATGTATCTTTTGGTAAGTTCTATCCATGGGTTATGATAAAGAATGCACCAGAGTTAAGAGTTGTCCAACAGGGGAACAAGTTACTTCATGAAGTAGCCAGCTTTCTGTCATAGAAAATCTTCAAGCTGAGATCTGCTGACCATCTATCAGAAATTGGGTAAGAGTGTGTTGGTGTTCTTCATGACTGCTGGAGGGCCTTCCAGCCTGGAGAATTCATCATTTCTAATGAAACATGACAGTCGACATAGCCTTATTTCATACTGAGGACTCAAGGCCACGACCAAATAGGTCATATGCATGGAGGCTTTTAAAATGTAATGAAGTGCACAGCCTTGTTTGGATCCTCTTGGAGGTAGGGTCGATAGCAGCTATAAAAAACATTTTGGGAACATAGGATAAATCTGAATATGGACCATTATCGTAAATGACTTGGAATTGATTTTCTGAGGTGTGAGAATGGTATCGTGGTTATATAGGCACATCCATATTCTTAATACATGCTGACGTATTTAGGAGGGAAGTATTCTGCTATGGGAAGCTCATTTTCAATTAGCAAAATAAGTGTACAGTGGATACCTTTAAGTAAAGGTACAGATATGAGCATTTTTTAAAATGAAAAGTTAGAGGCAATATAATCTGCAATTTTCCTCTTAGACCAGAACCTCCAGTGAAATTCGGGGAATTATAATCCAAAATCCCAACCTGAATGTAGACTAACATCAGTGGAATTCCCATACCACTAGCTTGACTTTATCCTAAAGTCGATGACCCATGTAGATCAGATAGAAGGATCTATGATTTTTTTTTTTTTGATGGAAGCAAATCTAGTCATATCTTGGTAGCAAATAAGAGAAACAACTCTTCAATCAGGTCTGTGCTGTGGCATAAAATTAGCAAAGATTTTGTCTGTCAGAATGCATATTTTCCGTAAAGGAGATATCTTTTCTTTTAAACTTATGACCTAGTTTCTTCCTATTTGTGTTTTAATCAGGTGTTCCGGTGCCTTCCCAATGATGAAGTACACAATTTAACTCAATTGAGAGACTTTATAACCAAGCCCATCTTAGCAAGGGAAGATCCCATTAGAGCTGAGGAAGAACTGAAGAAGATCCGTGGGTTCTTAGTGCAGTTCCCCTTATATTTCCTGTCTGAAGAAAGCCTACTGCCTTCCGTTGGAACCAAAGAAGCCATAGTGCCCACAGAGGTTTGGACTTAAGGGTGATATTCGTTTGCAGCTCCAAGGACTCCCACCTTGAAAAGGACACTGTGCACAGTGACTTTAGGGAGATCCTCACAGCTGCAGGCAGCCCTGACGCATGCTGGGATCCACCCCAGGGACCCTCTGGATTGGCTGGGCAGGGCTGCGGTCCTGATAGAAGGACACGGAACATCAGGTGGGCTTTCTAACTCCTCCTGCTTATCTGTGTGAAAAAGGGACTGTCTTCTTATTGGTAGCTATATGCTCAACAACCAATTCCGTGGTATACACCAAAATGCATTTCCTTTGCTAACAAGAATTTACCTGTGCCTGTGATCTAGGTTGCCAGAAATTGTCGGACCCTCCTTATTTTTCTCTGACCCTCATTAATGCAGCTGATGACTGCCGGACCTGCCCTCACTTCATAGTACATACAGACACGGTTCGAGACATTGTTTATTCCTAGAAGATGTTGTGATGCTGCTCCCAGGTGCTTCAGGGTGGCAGCGAGATGCCCCTGCCCATCTGGTCCTGAAGTAGCAGTGTTCACCCAAGCAAGGATGTGCATGTGGTCCTTATCCCTTTTCAGTGACTGAAAGGACAGGGTAGACGTTATGTACACAGCAGCCCAAGTTGGGTGCTTCTGATAACGTCAACACTGTAGATGGTAACACCACAGAGCAATAGGAAGGAATTGAATTTGGTTATTGAGGCAGAGATTTTACTTTGCCTCCAAAGGCGATGACAAGATACGGTCTTTTGATAGGGCCCACCTGATCAAATTTGAAAACACGTGTAAGATATTTCATTACACAGCAGCTGATAAAACTGAGAGCACGCAGCCTTCAGAAGCCTCCAAGGTGGCCGTGGGGATCTGATCCAGACAAGAAAAGATTCTTTATAGTCCTGGAAAATTTCCTATCACCCTTAGCTGCTGGGTTGATTGAAATTTGAGTTTCTCCATTTGAAAATCAAACCAGTGAATGCAATTTGTCTTTCAAGAGAGCTGGAGGCTTCACAACTCCTACCAAATTAATAAGTAGAAGCCTGACCTTATTTGACATTCAGCTCTCAGCTATGTTACCTTCTTTAAGAAAAATTGCTTGCAAAATACTTGCTACTTAACTTATATTATTAAATATGCCTTAACACTCCACCAGCCTTCCAAAGAGGTTAGGATCTTCATTAATTCACATTGTCCTAGTCTATGAATTGTTCTGGAAACCCATGTTTCCTTTGTGAATAGTAGTATTCCCTTTGGTACACCCCAGCTCTAATGTTACTAAGCAGAACTATTCTTACAGCCTGAAGAGCTGATGTGGGTTCCCAAAAGGCCTGTGCCCATAAAACATGATGTAGGTCATTGATCACACATGTATGGATTATCGGGACAGAGTCTCACTGGAGTCGTTCTTCAGAAAAAGTGAGGACCCAATCCTTGTTTTCATGGAGCCAGGAAGAGGTTAAACAGGAGTACAGAGTCAGTAATCTGGGTGAGTAGGAAAGAGTGTCACACTCAGAGGATGTCACAGCTAGAGCACATTTCACAAATGAGGTGGGACTATGCTTTATGAATAAAGAATTTCTCGGAAGGCTGAAGATGGTAGTGACTTCATTCTATAGCAGCTGTAAGTAAGGCATTTGCTATTTCTGAGGTTTAGATTGGCATTTAGAGAGTTGAGTGGGCGTGGAATACCTAAGGATTTCTTATGGTTTACTTTTACATAGTTTTTCAACTGTAGAACAGTCAATGCACTGGCTTTTAATTTTGTGCAAAATGCTCTCCTAACACCATGAAAAAGAAAAGCTTAAAAGGTCCTCCCCTTCTCATAAAAAACAAGTCACTTAATCCAGCCTCTCCTCAGAAACTGAGGCCCAGGTTGGTTGAAGGACTCACTTGAGTTCACCCAGCTGAGAGACGGTGGAGGCGGGACCAGTGAAATTGCTGTGGTTCGTTCGTGGCCTCTCCCTTGACGTGGTCATTGTCCACAAGTGAGGAGAGGCAGTAAACAGATTTCAGACAGGATACCTCTAAGCCGTTTTGAACACCGTGATATCATGTACTTAAGGGTTCATCTGTCTCCCCCTGCTTGAATGTAAGCTCCACGGGGCAGGGACTTTGCTGTGTTTTGTTCATAGTATATCCTCTGAGCCTGGAACAGTGCCTGGCACAGTGGAGGTGCTCAGTAACTGCTTGGTGGGTGAATAAACGAGGTGGAGGGGTGAGCTCATGAAATGCCAAACTTACAGAATCTCAGACAAGAAATCTTACTGTTGGTTTCTGGGGCCAGTTTCCTTTCTACCGCATCTTCTCAAAGGCAAGATATTCTTCTGCAAAGATGAGAGGCTACCAGCTTTACTTGGGTGGATTTTCTGGAAGATTCTGTGCAATAATTGCCTATCTGCAATAGCAGCTTCCGTAGGGCAGCATTCTGCAAAAGTCACATGGGGTGTGGACACGAGGTGTACTGCGTGGCCTAATTAGCCATCATTCTGACACCACTACCACCTAATAATGGAAGTTCAAATAACTTATCTTTAACATTGCAATATCTGGTATCAACTTGAAAATGCATAAGATTCAAAGCCTTGAAAAGCTGTTATGAATCTGCCCCACATTTTAAATCGACTGTAATCTTCCGAAATGACCCCAAATGCTGTACCCCACAATCTGATGATCTCTGTAATCATTTTTATTTTCAAGAAGGAAGAATTCTGTAATTATACAAAATGGTAGAAGGTAGAATAGCCACTCAAACTATTCAGATTGTCCAAGCTTAGTCGTTGGAGAGTACTCAACATAGCAGATCTGGTGCAGGCGTTTGCTCTGTATCAAGTGTCCACTCGGTGACTCGCCCTTCCTTGGGATGTTCTTAATTCTCAACTCTTAAGGCATCACACAGAGGCTTGGAGAGGCTGTCATTAGATAGTTGAGTGGCATATGGTAAAACAAAATACTAGTTTTCTTTTAGTAGCACCTTTGGAAGACAATTTCATTTCTAGGTAGTCAAAAACATGAGCAGTTCATCTCTTGTGTACTAACTTGGGAAATTGTAATGTACCATGAGTGATGAAAACAGCAGGCGGAGAAGCCTTTCTGCAGATGCCAGCCTATGGGCAGACCAGATTTGTATACTCAGGAAGAACCTGCCCTTCTTCCTGCATCTCCTCACCCCTTATTCCTTCAGCCTCGGTCCCCAAACAGAGCACCTCCTTGTTATGTAAACCATTTTAGAGGACAAGGAAAGGGTTTCTGAAAACAAACAAAAAACAAACAACAACAAAAAACCCCAAAATGAGGCCTCTACAACAAATCTTCTGTTTAACTTACCCTTTTAAGTGACTGACAAAATATTATTTTTTAATAGAAGTAATCGTCTTGTTAACATCCCTGATCTGATACGGCACTTGAGGGTTTTCTGAGGTCTGTCACCCTCTATAGCAGGGGCAAAGAGGATCCTTCATGTCTCATCCCTCTCTACTCTGTCTTGCATAAAATGAGCAAATGCTAAAGGACTTTAAGTGTGCTCAGGAATACATTTTTATTTCCCTGGAAGATCCTCTGAGGCCAATTACTACTGGCAGTTTGGAGGTTTAAAATGGATGGGCCTCGAAAATTCTTGAATCTAGAAATGCACTAGAAAAGGAATTCAGCAGCTCTCAGAAAGTTGCAGGCGAAAAGTCAGTGAATTCGCATTATTCTTAGGGGGGTGGGCAGGTACTATAAAATGATCCCTAATGGCATCTAATTCACATGTGAGATGGTGCTGACTTTGACTTGAGACTGGAAGCGTTCATTAAAGGAACCGAATGTCTTATGACTTAATTTCTTACAGGTTATTTTTTCTTTATACTATTTTAAATTTTTAACTTACAAACCGTAGTCAAACATAAGGTAAATGAAAATTTGTCACGCTGATCATTTGGAAGTTGTAAAGTCAGAGACTAGGATGGCAATCCAACCAAAATGCAGGCTTACTTACTCTTTTGCCAAGCTGCTATAATTGTTCAATTTATTCTTAATAAATGCACATAAGTGAATGTCACCCTACTTCTGCTTGACACAAAGAAATAGAACATCATGCCCTCCTAATGTAGATCTACTTGGATTCTTCACACAAAATAGTCTGGGCCAAAGAATGCTGATATTCTCCTAAACCACTCTAAAACTTCATAACGAAGTATTGCAGTTGGAGCATGTCACTGACACGAAAAAACAAATACTTGGCAATGAACATCTGTTCAGAATATTTTGATATTCTGGACAGAACTCAGACTCCTAGCCTCACCTCTACTACAGCACTTGGCACACCAAGGCTGGGCCTCCTGTTTTTGTAAATAAAGTTTTATTTAAACACAGCCATGTCCATTCATTTACATGCATTCGTGACCAAATGATCTGCAAATTCTAAAATATTCACCATCTTTTAAGAAAAGCCTACTGGTCCTTCCTCTAGAGAGAGCAAAGAATGTCCAGACAGAGTACCTCAACCAAACAGAGTTGGATGAGTTCTGTTCTCTTCCCTAACAAGGTTTTCAAGTCTCCTTATCCCAGAGCCCAACATTCTACAACGGATTTATTCTAAGAACAAGGTCGAGTCCTTTCAGGAATAAAATCACGTGGTTTTGGCTCTGGAAGAGATGTTGTCAGCTAAAGCAGGCTTCTCCCAGCTGAGCACTCATAAGCATACATGGTTGACAATGTTTGTAACTACAGTGTTAAAGAAGAAAAAAATGAGGATGGATAGCTGAAGGGTTTGTATTCAGAATGAGAACTGTGAACTCAGGAGACTCAGTTTCCTGTGAACTTTCCATCCGTGAAGCATTGGAAATGATCCATGTATCCATTCTCTGCCTCACAATCAATGCTCTCTGTGCCTGGTTCCTTAACTGCTTTTTTAAAATGTAAATATTCATTAATTAAATAATTAAAAGTGTGAAATCAGCAGCGTCCCTTTATTTGAAAACCAGATTCCTCATTCTGCACCGGGGTCTTGAGAGCCAGAGTGCTGCATGTCTGACCTTGAGACAGAACTGTGTATGTGTGGATACCCCACCCTACACCCCAGTTGTGGGCCCCCAGGAGGGTCAGCCTCAGAGTCTCAGCATCCTCTGCTACTCCCAGGCCTCTGTCCCCTGTGAGGTGTGATGATAGTGTTAGAGTTAAAAAACTGAGACAGCTTCCAGTAGGCACATATTCAGAAGGCCATTGGGGGGTGCTGGGGCGCATCAGTGAGCAGGTCAGACCAGGGAGCCCTTCATGCTGCCCACATTCTAGTGAATTGTGAGTGCAAAGTTACTGCCCTTCTCAAAATAAGTGCCTGAAATAAGAGGCATTTGAGTGCAAGTGTGGGAATTACCAAGCTGGAGAAAACAGCAAAGATGAGAGTGAAATAGAGTAAGTGTCAGTCTTTGAGGACACCAGAGTAGGAACTGGGAA